AAAATAGTCCCATTTTTTTATAAATGTAATGCAAGTTCTCCCCTCTGACAGTTGTCCTTCCATGATGTCTATTGATCCCTGAGCAGCTTCCCCTCAGATGCAAGAAGCCAAGCTGTGTATTGTAACCAGAGCAGCCCATGTTCATATTGATTGATAAATGAGACGTTCCAATTAGAATCGCCAACATTTATGCGAGTAGTGATGCAGCTAAGCTGTCTGATTTATACAACTGCTGTCTCTGAAAGGATCTTTGTTGGGTTGATGGGTGTGCTAGTCATAACTAACTTTTTTAAATTTGTCCCCCCCCCCCAGCATTTACTAAACTCATATCTGTAAATGGACAAGATTACCACCTTCAGCTAGTCGATACTGCTGGACAAGTAAGTGCTACATGTTCCATATTTCAAGGTCACCTTTATTTAAGGTCTGTGGTTTCTTTGTCAGTTTCTGAACATCTAGTCCAAGCACTAGAAGCTGGAGCTACTTATTTGCTGTTAACTGAGGATTGGGGGAGGGAGAGTTTAAGGCATAAACTTTACAGAACAAATAAGTTGTTTGAGACCTATCTTTAAATAATGCAATATCTTTTTGTATAGTTTAGGACACTTCAATTATGTAGGAGGCTGTGTTTGTAGTTGTATATCTATACTAGATCTTTATACAATAAGCTGAATTGGTGATTTAACATTTTCTGTACCACTGACATAAGGCATATGGTGGAACAGGACTGCTTCCAGTTGTCCAGGACAGTGCCTTACATCAGCTGCATTGTTCCTTCTGCTATGTAAGCTTGTGGCATTCCAGCAAACTTATGGCAGAAGGGTGCCTTAGAATCTTCTAAAGGACCCTTAGTTATATGATCACTGTCATTGGCTGACATCCTGCTGATTACAGCCTTTTATTTAAATTTGAGTCTTACATATACACTTAATTCAGTACAGTTTATTTTACTGTATTTTTATAAACAATATTGCTTTTCATAAAAATTTGCACAAAACTATTGCGTGTCCTACAAAATTGGTTGCACCATTTTTTTTGTGTTTTTGTTTCATTATTGACCTATTTAAGTTGGCTGAAGAAACCAACTCAAATGCTTTCTACAATGAAATGCTACTTGAGTACCAGCCTGTGTATATGCCCCTTCATTACCAGGCTATTTTTTTTTTTTATTGCTGTGATAGTCTTACAATTGTCATGCAACATTGTACCCCCAATTAATTTTATTTCTCCACTGCCAGGATAGTACAGAGTTGTTACCAGGAGTGGAGGGTGGTGAAAGGGTTAAAAATGATCCCACAATTAAATGAGCACGTTGAATGTGCTGTTGCCTGTCATCTTCTAGTAATAAAGGGATTCCTTCGTTACTTCCTCCAATGTGAGAGAAAGTGTTCTCAAATGTAAAGATCATTGTAACTGGTTATCAAAGCCACATTTGTCCGCTCTGTACGTTGTGTCTGTGATCGGAGTCATGAAATGACGGCTCGGCCATTAACAAGTGCAATGGCTGCCGATTTGTTTTTCTTAAACTGTGCACCAGACATGCATGTTCACCTCCCTGCTGTGATGTGTGGTGTGTAGAATTCATGTGAATCTGGCCAAGAGTGCTTTGACTGTAATGGCAGTTCAGAAGCGTAGGCATCGGTTCAGATCTGTTTTGGGCCCCTAGGACCAGACTGTACATGGGTCTCAACTCCTGCATTTTTGTTATGCAATATGAACGGGAACATATAACGCAAAATAGATGTTCCAAATTGGCTGTGAAAGTGGAACTGCACTTTAAATAGTTTTCATTGAGTACAGTACCTCTCAATCTACATTTGCTGTACACACAGGCAGATCTGAAACCTTGTATGTACTGCACCTCCATGCAAATGACTATTCTCAATGTCTGTCCTATCTTCAGAATCGTTCTTCCTCCCTTCTTTACTATTAGTTTCTAGGCAAATTGTATGGTCTTTAATGTCTGCTATGAAGGGATCTTAAAGTATATTATTTTTCTTCATTTTATAGGATGAATTTTCCATATTCCCTCAGACTTACTCCATAGACATTAATGGATATATACTTGTGTATTCGGTCACCTCTATTAAAAGGTGGGTTTGTTTTTATATTGTAATGGATTTTGGATAACTTGCATGTCATTGAAGATGAGTCTTGATCAGTTTCAGTGAGATTTAAAAAAGGACTTCTCTGTCTTCCCCCCCCAAACTGGTGTCCTTCCAAACCGCTTTAACCCGTTCATGACCAGTGACGTGCAGTGTACATCACTGGCATCAGGCCTGCTTAAACAGACTAAAATCCGCCGGGGCTCTGTCTACATTTGTAAAGCTGACAGCCGGCTTTACAATAGATCGCTTCTACAGGCCACACAACACCCCCACCGTGTTTCCTGCGCTCCGCTGCCCCTCCTGTGGGCACGGGACTGGCATCTCCGGTGTGGGGGAATGGGGAAGCTGGGGATGAGAACGGCGAACGTCTGGTCACCGATCTCCCCATACTATGGGTCCGGGAGCGATGCAGATTACATCACTTCCGGTCCCATAGCTGTCATTGCAGGGCGCCTGAAGCCCAGCAATAAGCTATTGAAGTGTGATCTGCACTTCAGTAGCTTATTTAAAATGGAAAGGTGACACTAGGGGGTCTTTTTATACCCCCAGTATCACCTTAAAGAGTACCTGTCGTCACCACCTGCTATCGCATGTAAGCCTGCCTATGTAATGGCAATTAAAGTAAAGAAAAGAAACCCGTTTTTAAAATTATTGAATAAAAATAATTGTAACTTTTTTTTTTTTTTTTTTTTAAGTCCCTCCCAGGG